TATCCTTGTTTACCTTTTTAATGCAAGTGTATTTTCTGCAACTTTTCCTCACGAGCTAAAATGTTCTGTTGTAATTCCCTTATACAAAAAGGGCAATAAAAAAGACAAGAACAATTACAGACCAATTTCTTTACTTTCCTCTGTATCTAAAGTCTTTGAAAAATTGATTAAGACTAGGATTATCTCGTTCCTTGATCACAAAAACTTTTTTAGTCCGATGCAATTCGGTTTTAGATCAGGGTGTTCTACTGAAGATGCCTTACTAAACTTTTGTTCATTTGTCTATGGTGACTTAGATAGTAAAAAGAGCTGCGCTGGTCTATTCGTAGACACTACTAAAGCATTTGACATGGTAGATCATGAAATTCTGTTATCAAAGTTGCATAACGTCGGTTTTCGTGGGTTTATTCCTAGCTGGTTTAAATCCTACTTACAGTTAAAATCGACAACAACTTCTCTGAAATGGCGCTCACATGCTCTGGAGTACCTCAAGGCTCTGTGCTAGGTCCCCTTCTTTTCAGCATTTTTATCAATGACATTTTCAAATCATGCTCACACGTTCGCCTACACGCCTACGCCGATGACGTTCAACTATATATATCTAACCATATCAGCATGGTCCAAGACACAACACTTAGGCTTAATGAGGACCTGCGCGCGATTCTTGAGTGGTCTGTTGGAAACCTTCTCAGCCTCAATGCTCTAAAATCTTATGTACTCCCTATTTGCAAAGATAAAATACAAGTTTCTGATATTCCTCACCTTTATATTGGTTCTACAAAGCTTCAATTAGTCAGCAAAGTGAGAAACTTGGGTTTTATTATTAATTCTAAGATGACTTGTGAGGACCACGTCAATGAAGTTGTGAGTAAAATATACTACACCCTGCGATGCCTGAGAGTATCCTCGCCTTTCGTACCTTCAGGCACGAAAAAGAAGCTGGTTCTGAGCACAATTGTTCCTCTTATTACTTACTTCGAAGTAGTGTACAGCAAATTGGACTTTCACTCCCTGCACAAACTCGATGTTGCATTAAACCATGCCACTAGGTATGTATATGGCTTGAAGAAATTTGACCATATATCTACTTTTAGGAACTCAATACTTGGCTGTGACCTAACAAACTATATAAAAGCTCGTAATTGTATTTTTATGTTTAAATTGCTTGTTTACAAAAAGCCGGAATATCTATATGAAAAGCTTAAGTTTTCCAAAAGCTCACGCTCCTTTAATTTGATATTGCCGAAATTTAACTACTTAAGCTCTTCAAGGCTTTTTTTTGTTAATGGTGTTAGACTTTGGAACTCCCTTCCACTGTCTCTAAAGAACTCACTGCGTGAAAGTAATGTAAAACAATGTATCTTTGAATATTTTTCCAGTTAAGTCGCATAATAAGGTGGTCATAAATTTTTTATTTTATAAATTTTTTATTTAAATTTTATTTTTTTTTATATAAATTTTTTATTTTTTTTTTATTTTTCTATTTGGCTTTTCTAAGTTAATATTTACATATGCATACATAGCTATATTTATATAATTGTAATTTTTATTTTATTTTAATACATATTTTTGTAATCCGTTATTTGTATTGCGCAATAAAAGTTTAATTCTTAATGCGCTAATCTACTTAAATAAACAAAAATAAATCAATCAAACAGGAAGAGTACAGAAGGTAAAAGTTGGTAATAGTATAAGCAACACACTCACTATCAATTTGGGAGTTCCACAGGGTCTGTCTTAGGCCCGCTATTATTTTTAATTTATTTAAACTCAATTTTTTCGCTACCATTTTTTGGTAAAGTTACCGCTTTCGCTGACGACCTCGCGATTGCGTATGGATCAATGAGTTTTTTGGATTTGGTGGCGGGTATGAATCACGATATACATCTGCTACGGACCTGGTTCGCTAAGCATAAGCTTATAGTGAGTAAAAAAACTCAGATGATGTTTTTTAATCTTCAAGCGAAAAGTGTGCCCAATGTTGATATTGTTTTTCATTCGAGAAGCTGTAGATGTTTCGCCCTGCATGACTTGTCTTGCTCTTTGAAATCCTTCAACTCCAATGCTCACTGTAGCGATTTGTGTTTCACCATTGATACAGTGAAGGACTTTCAGTATTTGGGGGTAGTTCTTGATAAAAATTTATGTTGGTCTTCACACACTTCTCGCTTAAAGACATATTTGCAGTCTACAGTTCGACACTTTTATAACCTTAGAAAGGTATGTTCAAACGCCACGCTTAAAACTCTTTACTACGCGCTAGTCGACTCCAAACTTCAATATGGGATTAATTGTTGGGGTGGTGCATCTTTGAATACGCTTCAGCCCCTTTTAACTGTGCAGAAATACGTTATCAGGAAAATTTGTAATGCGAATCGGTTTCACCATTCCATGGAGCTATTTAAGAGCCTGGGAATCTTGCCGGTAAGACACTTGTATTACTATAAGACACTAAAAATATTTTTTATTCGGTGCGGTTACTTACATACTTTGGAGTCGGAAAATTATTGTCTGAGGACCAACACTCAGGGTTTGGTCGTTGTTCCGACATATCGTACTACTCATTTGAGTAACTTCTTCACCATTGTATCTTGTAAGTTGTTCAATGTTCTGCCTGCTAATATACGACTCATTAGAAATTTGCCTAAATTTTTGAAAAGTGTTAAATCTTATCTTTTAGAGTTATCACATAATGATATCAAGATTTTGCTGAGACCTAGTATTTAATGAACCTTAAGTCTAAAATTTGTTTTATTGAATATTGAAATTGTAATTTCATAGCACCTTTTTCACCCCACACACTTTATATATGTATATTATATTGGATTTTATTTTTGAAAATAGCATTCGACACTATTATATCCATTTTACAGAATGCTTTACCTTTTTTCTTACAAGTCAATCTAATTGGTCTTTACTTTAAGCTGTTATGTAACATTGTAAGAAAAAATGAATAAATAAATCTAAATCTAAAAATTGGCGTTTCCAATTGGCGTCAGTTGGCACAGAGGAGAAACGACTGGCGTGCTTTGCTGAGCTCGGCCAAAATCGCTTAGGCGGTTACAGCGCCTAAAAAGAAGAAGAAGAAGAAGTTATCAACTTACCTGTTGAATTGCAAAATTTCAGCTTTTGCGGTATTAGATATACATTGGGTTTTTATCACTAATTATAAAATACCCATATATCTATTATTTTGTAATTACTAGAAGCAGCGTGCGCATGCAGTTTTTGGATTATATAAGGCTAATACGATGTTTCCACGCTTCGTAATTCGCTCTCTAAGTAATTCGGGAGTTACCCTGTTTCCACGCCACACATTAGTAATTCGTTTGGCAGCTCTACTTCTTGTTCTTCGCTATTTTTTGTGTACTACAAATATCGAAGATGGAGCTAAAATTTAAGTTATCATCAACAATTTTAATTTATATAGAGAATATTTGGGAAAATTTTAGGAGACGGACGGCAAATTCTAGAAAAAGGGGGGATGAGGTGGGGTAGAATAGGACCCCCTGATTTCAAAAATACTCCCCTTTTTTCTAGCAACCCTATAGTTCTTATATAATTTATTGTTAAAGTTTTCATATAAACGATGAATAAGATAGCAAAATAACATAAAACTTGGTGCTGTCAGACTGAAGTTTTGAATAATAAAAGCGGATTTTTAATTCGGAGTTTTCACTTAGTAGTGTAAAGTATTCGCAAGGAAAGTACTAGTGGCAACTACTCTGCCAAATGCAACCCTACGAAACGGTAGAGGATTACCATTGGTAGCACTGCGTTAATATCCGAACTCTAACCCCGAAGAAGAAGATCCCGTTTGGGTCGTATCCGCAGACGTCGAAGATTTCGCCGGCTTTGGCGCCAGCGCGCTAACAGCCACCCTAACTAATTCCGACAATGAGAGCACCACCGCCGAGCCTGCCGCAGCCACTGCCGAAAAACTTCCCGTTGCCACCACAATCTCTGAGACCGCAGCCCCAGATAGTGAACGTGCCGTTGCCGCCCCAATAAATCTGTTGCCACCACCGATATTATAAATGATGATGAATGTGCCGTTGACCCCGCCAGAAAAGCCATCGCCACCGCTAATGCCGACATTAGGACTGCTGCCATAGTTAATGGAAATTCCGCTGCCGACAATACCACTGCCGAAAATATGGTCGACCGAATGACCGCCACCGCCACCAGGTCCCATACGTTCGCCGCCGCCGCCAGTAGGCCTACCGGCGCCACCGCCCAAGCCATCCCAGCCGAGGGGATAACCACGACACCTTTAGAAAAGCAGATAGAAAGATTGCAAAAGAGGAAGCAACTGCTGGAATTGAGACGCCAAGTGCAGGAGCTCGAAGACGGGTTCGCTTCGCCAACATGCATCCGAAAAGCTGCACCCGCAAAGCAGAATTTTGCGATATAGAACACGCGCTTACGCGACCTTACCCTTTTACATCCTGTCCATGCAGGCACTGGCAAAACAGGGCAATGTCGATGAGAGGGAATTGATTGACTTTATTCTCGATGGAATCAACCAGCAAGTGAGTAACGTGCATCTACTCATGGCGGCCCGGTCGCTCTCCGAGCTCATAATTATGGTCAATAGTTATCAAGATAAATACCTTCTTCCGAACGCTGCCATCAAACGCGCCAACGCTGTTGCCTTGACCAAGCCGACCGCCGCAACTAAAAACAGAGAGGAGCTGCCCGCCGTTAAAGATCTGAAGCTATGCTTCAACTACAATCAACGTGGGCACATAAAGCCAAAATGCCCGTACCACCTACGCCCCAATGGATCTTGCTTCCGCTGCTGGAGGATGGGTTATGACCACCGTTCCTGCCCCAACCCGAAAAAGATCCTGAAGCCGCTGCCCGACCAACCAGTAAATACCGTACATTACGAAGACGTCATGGGACTCGATAATTTAGACCTAGTAAGTATTGCTTTTGATATTGACCCGGTGGGAAGTGCAGTGTTTAACAGTTTCGTTTCTCTTTTTGATACCGGCAGTCCAACTAGTTTCGTGAAGAAATCCTGCGTCCCCAAATGCCTCAATACATTTAATAAGCCGGAGCGTAGTTACGTTGGGGTTGGAGGCAAAAGAATTAACGTAGTAGGCGTTGTCGACTGCACCATCAACTACAAAAATCAATTAAATAAAATTAAGCTTAATATTTTACGTGACAATGAAATGTACACTCCCCTGATCTTGGGCCGCGATTTTCTAAAAACGTATAAAATACGTTTAACAAAAGTGAAATTTAAATTATCAATAAATGAACTAAACTCGGTTAACAAATCAAAAAAACTTTGCACTTCTCTGCCGGCTGAATTGGTTAATGTTATCAATGGGTTCAGCCTTTCGAGAGACCATGGGGGACGCGCCTGCCGTGAAGACGTTAACTCAGTAGCACCAGATATTTTTAACTCTGAATTAGGTATTGATGAAGTCGATGTAGATGTTGGCCGTTCAGGACCAGATATTCTTAACCGTTGTAATGAAGACACTGATGTAGATATTGCCTGCCGTGAAGATGTTAGTTCAGTAGCGCTAGATATTTTTAATTCTGAATTAGGTATTGATGAAGTCGATGTAGATATTGGCCGTTCAGGATATTCAGATATTCTTAACCGTTGTAATGATGACGCCGATGTAGATATTGCCTGCCGTGAAGACGTTAACCTAGTAGCACCAAATATTCTTAATTCTGAATTAGGTATTGATGAAGTTCATGTCAACATTGGCCGTCCTTTGGGGTCAGCTTGCCGCGACAGTCCTACCTCAGAAGTGCCAGATATTTTTAACGCAGAGGTCTGTAGTGGAGATACCGACATAGATATAGATCTTACTATAACGAAATGGCTTACATGTGCTCATTTATTGAAGCTTAAAAGCATTTAATTTAAATCTATCGTTTGAATATAAAATGATACGTTGTATGGCTCGTTTTACACTTGTATTTTTCGTGCGCTTCGCTTAAGCTTCCATCGATGTATATAGAGAATTTTCATTTGTCAACTTAGCTGCTGTCCATCAGTTGGTTGGTGGCAGCGTTGCCACCTACAAGAATATATTACAGGGTGCCTAACACCCCACCTCCCGTGAATCCTCCTGGCATTCACCATCAACCTCTCGTCTGGCTAGCCGGGATGCGGGCCTACGTAGGAGTCCCCCGGCCGTTTTCACCTCTACGACTCGCACTTGCTCATTTAGCTGGGAAAACCTGTGTGATACGGCCTCGTTGCTATTGCCTGCGGGGTAGCGTTGCATCACATACTATCACCACGTCATTCACTTTCAGGGGCGTAGCTTTTTCTTGCCACTTTGTGCGACGCAAAAGTTGGGGCAGGTACTCCGAAGTCCAGTGCTTCCATATACCGTCCTTTAGATTTTGTGCTATTCCCCATTGTTTGCGCAGGCAAATTTGCTCATCAACTGGGTGTGGTGTCTGCGTGGAATTTACGCAGCCGAGCAGGAACTGGTTCGGCGTAAGCGGCTCGTCCTCTTCGTCACCCGAGCTAGGGTTCAGAGGGCAATTGAATACCCACTCTATATTGTGTTTTGCTGCTTCTGACTCTATGCGATCTGTGTCAAACAGTTGCTCCGATGCTTTCAGTTCTTTCTGTGCGCCGATGAAGTTGGTCCCGTTATCGCTCCTTATCTTCACAGGTGTGCCGCAGCGATTTATAAAATTGCGAAGACACAGGATGAACGCGTCGCTGGACAAATTCTCTGCTAGCTGGAGGTGCGCAGCTCGGACAGTCAAACACGTAAATATGACGCCCACCTCTTTTCTCTACGCCTGCCAATCGCTACGTGAAACGGACCAAACAAATCTACGCCAGTGTACGTGAAAGGGCTCACGAACGGGGTTACACGGTCAATTGGTAGTTGACCCATCATCGGTGGCTGTGGGTTTGCTCTGTCAACCGTACATGTCGGGTACTTTTGTCGCACTCGCTTAAGAAGCGCCTTCATATTTGGAATCCAGTACCTTTGTCTGGTGGCGTTGATGGTTACTGCGAGATTCTGATGGTGGCTCCTCTCATGGACTTCTTTGACAACTAAGGCCGACACTGCGTGTTCTGGTGGTAGCAAAATCGGTCGTCGCGTTTGGTATGGTAGGTATACCGTCTCATCGATGCGGCCGCTCAGTCGTAGTACACCACTTTCATCAACATACGGTGACAGCTTGTATAAAGAACTTCGTTTACTAAGTTTGCGCGCCGCTGGCAAGTTGGATATTTCACTCTCGTAACACTCACGCTGGACTAATTTGCAAATCATGTTTTCGGCAGCTTCTATTTCTGTCACGCTCAAGCTCGTTGATGGATTGACTTCGCTATTTGGCTGCTTTCGAAATAGGTTCGCTGCACGCATCACCCAAGCTGTGGTACGCCGCAGCTTCGAAAATGAACCAAATCTTGAAAAATCTATGACTGAGTTACGTGGCTGTACCAGTAGTATCGCTTCGGTCTTAATTTCTTCTGGTAGGACGCCTTCCGGTTTTAGTGTTAGGGTGGGCCAATACTGCTCGTGGTACTTTAACAAGTCGGGACCCTTTACCCAACGGTTGTTGATATCAAATTTCGGTGGACATAATGGGCGCATGGCAGCGTCTGCAGTATTTTGCGCAGTTGGCACCCATCGCCATTGTTCCGGGGCAGTGGAGGTGAGTATTTCGGATATACGATGCCCGACAAACGCCTTGTATTTCCTCTGCGATGAATGTATCCACTGCAGAACAGTTTGCGAGTCGCTCCAGAACACCGCCCGCTCGATCGTGAACTCGTGGGATTCTTGAATTAATTTGAATAGACGGGTGCCCAGGACAGCTGACTGCAGTTCGAGGCGCGGGATCGACATAAGCTTCGTCGGAGCGGTACGGGTTGTTCCCATTACGAAGCTGACGTCAATATTTCCTTCGTGAAGAATTCGCAAGTACCCCACCGCAAAAAACGCAACATGACTAGCGTCGACAAATATATGCACCTCGACTTTACCCATGCTTGCGCCGTGTGGTGAGTAGCACCGTGGAATCGTGAATTGCTTCACGCTGTTGAATTCTTGCCACCATTGTAAACACTTCCTACCTAGCTCCATCGGAAGAATGTCGTGTTGTGTTACGCGCTTGGGAGCCCTAGCGCTCCCAGGTGCTACCTTCACTGTAGAGGTGCAGTCGATGAGTTGTGCGGAGCCCTGGCGCTCCGCCCTTGCTACCTTCACGGTAGTGGTGCTACCGCGTTACCAGCCTACGGTGCCGCTGGTACTTTCCATTAAGTCCTGCGGGAATATGCAGCAGACTTTTCCCTAAGTCCCGGGAGCTGACTTACTGCACCCGGCCCACACTTGACCAATTAAATTAAAACTTTATATTTTTTTACAACCTTCGGGTTTAGAATCGCGCGCCAGAGTGACGCCAATTTATTTTTAATTTTCAGTCTTAAACCTAGCTGCTATTGTTCAACACAACAACGTTGCATTTTCAATATCGTAAATTTATATTTGTAATAGGGCGGATTCATATTAGGTAATTTTGTAGAGTTGCAAATTTGTATGCTTGATCGCATTACATCACCCTCCGTAGGAAAAGAAGAATTTGGCAAAGTGATCAGATTTGCCACATTCTTCTTGTCCCTAATAAAATCAAAGTTAAATAGTTAAATTAAAACATATTGTAATTAGTTCTTATTACTAATTTATTTGCTAATAATTATTTAATTCGCCAATTATTGTATAGTAGTGATATTAAGTAGATTAATCATATTTCGTATATAATTAAGTAGTAGTAGTATATTCTTTAAGTAAATAGGTATTATTACAAAAGGAATTCGAGATTTTTGTAATGTATACTAAGAGATTTTTATTTTGACAAATTGATTTGTATATATGTATATATTTTGTTGTGAAGCTTTCTTATATTGTAATTTTTGTAAAAATTATATACAGTAATAATTGCATGTTATAAAATGATTGTACAACTGAATGTATTTAATTCAATTAATTTTGTTGGGACTTAATACCAAATTTTTAAACAATATGTGAGTATTTAATTATTGCTATAATATATTAACCTAACCTGCAGGTGTAAACTATAAGTAATGCGAGTTTTTGGAATCGAATAACTTATATCGTATTTATTGCAAAATATTTGATAGCGAAAGGTTAAGTTTTCAACGTATGCTTACACACATTTTAAATATGCATGTATGCATTTTCCTTATGTGTTTAAGAAATTCAAGTGGTTGTTAAATTCAAAAGTAGTTATTACATTTCGCAAATGAGTGATTAAGTATAGTGAAATATTTATCTAGTGACTTTTTGTATTCGGTTTTTGTGAACTTAAACTTGCTCTTTTGACTTGTCGAATATTGTTATATTAACACCGTCGATTTCAGTCACAAGTTAAGGGCCTTGGTATATGCTGTGGTGTTTGTCACGGGGTTCTTTTTGAATCAAAACCATGTCGTCTTTATTAATAGATATTGGACGTGCATATCTATCGTATAACTGTTTATTCCGGACCTTATGATTGGTGATAAGCTCTTTTGCCA